ATTATAATTGATTGATAATTAATTATAACTGATTAATAAATTATAATTCAATAAATAAGAATATTAAATAAATAAATAAATATAATAAGAGATTAATAAAAAAATAAATTAGATTAAAAATTAAATTATAATAAAAAGATACATGAAAATAGATAACAATCTCCTGTGGGCATTATAACATGCGCTTTACGTATACCAATCAAAACCTAAATACACCCGCAGGCAGTAGGCATGAACTCCGGGATGTCATACTGCGTGATAGTGCCTCCCTTATACAGCAGGATGGACCCTGATCTGAATTTGATTGGGGCACAGCAAGGGGTCAGACCGTGCTTAAGAACCTCGTCCTCAGTATGCCATCTGTACGTTCGAATGTAGCGGGTATAATTGCTGGAAATGCTATCCATAACCGGATCTGAAAATAAATAAATAAATAAATACAAAATTTAAAAATAATTAAATATTAAAATATTAAATTAAAATCTAAATAAATAACTAAATAAATAAATTAAAAGTTTAAATACTAAAACAGGACTAAAACAAGACTAAAATACCGTACTATCCAAAGAGCAAACTTTTACAACTGTTCATCCCGCCCCGTACACCAAAGGCTCATAAAGACAAGCTTATGGAGGTGCTACACTCCAGCAGAGACGATGGAATTCGGGATGCAGAAAATGCAATTTGAGAAATAGCTTAGAAGTTACCGCCCTTATTTTGGAAAACTTTGAGCACTTACTACATGACCTAGACTATGAGCTCAATGTCATGCATTGCAGCAAATAGCGAAATTCTAAATGTTAAAATATGAAAAACATCCTTACCGTTACAAGTTCCAGAACAGAAAGTGACTTCAAACTTCACAGGGGCGATTATCTGAGGAAAGATGTCGTGAGCGTTGATTTTAACCACATTCCGGCAGCATCGGGTTTCATCTGGCGTGCACATCGGGTTCTTCTCCACGCTTTCTATTGGTGAGATGCCGATTTCTAGGAAAGGTCTGAAATGAGTTTTCAATAAATATGTGGACTATGCAAGAGGGTTGAGTTGATCACGCATCTGGAAGGCTTTGGCACAACCAGAGACCCTGATGGTTCTTCTTGAAAGGTTGTCGCAGAGCTAATTACTCACAGCCTGGAATTCGTACCTTAGGCCAACACATACGTCCTAACAGTCAATAATAAAAAACAAAAGTCGGCTTTGGCTATGTTATAACCTCTCCGAAAAAGGATAACAACCCGAGACGCAAGTCGGCATCAGTTTATGATGAGTAGGACCAATCATGTGATGCAATAAAAAATCTCAAACTTACGTTCTTGACTTGTTTGAGAAGAGATCAGGGCGAAAGATGGAGACCGGTAAGGTGCTGTTCTTCTCATGGCGGACCACAAGACCAAATCCGTGGTTATGACGTATGGTCTCCATCCATCTTTGGACGATGTGCGTCACATCTTTAAAGGTCTTCTCCTCCGTGAGAGTTACATGTCCCAGAAACCGATGCCTCCTCCAGACCCTGCTGGATTTATCTGTTGCCGACTTGACCTTCTTCAGGCTATAGATTGTCACGAATCGCTTAATCGTGAAGCCACCATTGAACCAGAGCTTCGCAGAATACACCCGACCTCGATCCTTCAACGACTTCAGATTTTCGAAGCCTAGACAAGCGAAGTTAAGGAGGTCTGTGCATTCGTCAGTCACTGAAAACGAAAAGAAATTTTAAATGGCGAGGTGCATCGACTGTAGCACCTTGAATATCCACTAACGGAGAAGAAGAATGATCACTAAGATCGCGGTGCTGAGCAATATTTACGGAGCCGTTCTGGAGTAACTAGTTTGTCGTAATTAGTGGCACAGAAGTGCGAATAGCTTCTTATCTGCGAACCAAGACTACAAGGTGCGTTCGTTAAGTACTCCTCAACTCGCAAGAGATATAAATTTGAATCGACGCGACAATCGTTACAAATTTTCCCTCACTACACTCTTCGTTGCGTTGCTATTTTACTACATGTAAAAGAAATGTAAGAGAAAAAAGGGAACATGATTCAAATTATATAAAAAAAAACCTACTCACCATCTTCGGCCCAGATAAAAGACTCTGGTTCGGCGTGAAATCCAATCTCCTGAACAGCTGCTTCGTCAGACTGCATCTTCTCTGGTGCTTTCTGCAAGGGCGGTGGTAGCAACAGATCTCCCGGAACTTCTTCTTTCGTCATGTCTTCTTCCGCGTCCATTTGTAATTTGATCTGTAGATGTTTTCGAAATTCCTCCACATACCTTGCTTGTTCTTCTTCAGTTAGATGCGGATGCACTGTCGTCACGTTTTTGTTAATCGTAGAATTGAAAAGCTCTGCACTGACAGTGGCGTTCTTGAGAGACGCCTTTTGGCTGTGAGACGCCGATTCAGTTTTGCTGTCCTCTTTCTCTGCCTTTGTATTGGATTCGTCCGGTTTACTGTTTTGCTTTTCTGTGTCAGCCTTGCCACTCTGGCCTTTCCCTGCCTTGGTACCAGCTTTACCACCAGCTTTGCCAGTTGTATCTTCGATTATCATAGCTTTACCTTCCTCACGTTGGCTTTTGCTCCTTTGTCCTTTGACCTTATCTTTGTTGGTTTTGCCACTCTGGCCTTTCTGCGCCTTGGTGCCACCTTTGCCAGTCGAATCTGTCCCAGCTTTACCTCTTTGTCCTTTTGCCCTCTCTGTACCAGCTTTGCCACCTGCAGAATTTTGTGTCTTGCTGCCAGTTTTGCCACTAACTCCTGTGTCCTTATCAGCTTTGCCATTTTCATCGATGGGTTTCTTTGTATCTACACCGCTCTCATCATCTGCCTTTCCATCTTTACTTGGAGAATCTGTCCCAGTTATTCCTACGCCGTTAGTGTTGTCAATCTTTCGATCTTCTTGTAGCCTGCTCTTTATTTCTTTCAAAGCCTTTCTGAAGTTGGCCAATTCCTTACGTCGGTTGGTCTTGTGCTTTCGTCGTCTTCCCAAACATCCGATTGGTATCAAGAGAAGAAGTACAACTAGGAACACCAACTTTCTATCCATGCTTCGGTTGTATGTTAGTGTCTTCTTAGTGCCGACAGTTGTCGGCCTTCTTCTGAAGCGGGCTGCATCTTCTGTATTTATGCGGTGGCTGGAACTTACTGTGAAGAATTAAGTGTACGTCATTGGATGCCAGTGGCAATTACAGTTTCTGATTTATTATTATTTTGTGCACACGACACGAAAGGAAAAAAAAACCATTCAAATGATAAATATATATATTTATTTAAAGGAACAAATCGTCTGTTTTCTTATAATGATAGAATGTAATAATATATACCCATGGAACTGTAGAACTGTGTGACGACAAACCCAATCGCAGAATGACCTTGTGTGTTCTGAGAAGAAGTCGCTATCGAAACTTGCAACGGTAATTACATAGTAATAATATGTTTAGAAGTTGGTTTAATAACCTGAAGCTGAAAGGATTGAGAATGACCTCAAAGTCAGTCTTGTCCACCATCAAAGTCAGTCTTGTCCACCATCAAAGTCGGTCTTGTCCACCATCAAAGTCAGTCTTGTCCACCATCAAAGTCAGTCTTGTCCACCATCAAAGTCAGTCTTGTCCACCATCAAAGTCAGTCTTGTCCACCATCAAAGTCAGTCTTGTCCACCATCAAAGTCAGTCTTGTCCACCATCAAAGTCAGTCTTGTCCACCATCAAAGTCAGTTTTGTCCACTATCAAAGTCAGTCTTGTCCACCATCAAAGTCAGTCTTGTCCACCATCAAAGTCAGTCTTGTCCACCATCAAAGTCAGCCTTGTCCACCATCAAAGTCAGTCTTGTCCACCATCAAAGTCAGTCTTGTCCACCATCAAAGTCAGTCTTGTCCACCATCAAAGTCAGTCTTGTCCACCATCAAAGTCAGTCTTGTCCACTATCAAAGTCAGTCTTGTCCACCATCAAAGTCAGTCTTGTCCACCATCAAAGTCATTGCTGATTGGTGGGAAATGAATACACCATTAAGATATAATGTCCAATATTGTAGTGTTGTCCATCGACTGTCCATCTTTCACATTATTGTGCTGTTTTTTTATATTTGTATCCTTAATGGGGGATTATATGTCCTCTTAAAGGGGGTATATATGTGACATTTTAAATGGTTATATATGTGTCTTCTTAAAAGGGGTATACATGAGACCTCTTAAAGGGGGTATATATTTGTCCTCTTAAAGGGGTATATATGTGTCCTCTTAAAGGGGGTATATATATATGTCCTCTTAAAGGGGGATTATATATGTCCTCTTAAAGGGTATACATGAGTCCTCCTTAAGGGATATATATGTGTCCTCTTAAAGGGGGTATATATATGTCCTCTTACAGGGGGATTTTATATGTCCTCTTAAAGGGGTATACATGAGTCCTCTTAAAGGGGTATATATGTGTCCTCTTAAAGGGGTATATATGTGTCCTCTTAAAGGGGGTATATATGTGTCCTTTTAAATGGTTATATATGTGTCTTCTTAAAAGGNGTATACATGAGTCCTCTTAGAGGGGTATATATGTGTCCTCTTAAAGGGGTATATATGTGTCCTCTTAAAGGGGGTATATATGTGTCCTTTTAAATGGTTATATATGTGTCTTCTTAAAAGGGGTATACATGAGTCCTCTTAGAGGGGTTATATATGTGTCCTCTTAAAAGGGGTATATATGTGTCCTCTTAAAGGGGTATATATGTGTCCTCTTAAAGGGGTATATATGTGTCCTCTTAAAGGGGTATACATGAGTCCTCTTAAAGGGGTATATATGTGTCCTCTTAAAGGGGTATATATATGTCCTCTTAAAGGGGTATACATGAGTCCTCTTAAAGGGGTATATATGTGTCCTCTTAAAGGGGTATATATGTGTCCTCTTAAAGGGGGTATATATGTGTCCTTTTAAATGGTTATATATGTGTCTTCTTAAAAGGGGTATACATGATTCCTCTTAAAGGGGTATATATGTGTCCTCTTAAAGGGGGTATATATGTGTCCTCTTAAAGGGAGTATATAGGTATAAATGTGTCATTTTAAAGGGGGTATATATGTGTCCTCTTAAAGGGGGTATATAGGTATATATAGGTGTCCTCTGAAAGGGTTTTCTGTTAAAAGGGTATACATGTATTGTTTTAAAGAGGAAGAAATATATGATCTTAAAAGAAATTCTATTTTTACTATGAAATATTATATAAGCAATTTTTTTATGATGCTAAATTATACAATTTAATAAATATCAACTGGAAACCGGTATTGTTTAAAGTATCGGGCAACAGCTATTTACCACGCAGGCAATTGCCTCTGGTAATTATCTTTTATAGTTTTAAATATCATTAATTCTTATGTTGAGAATGATGATCTTTGAAAATAGTTCATCAACACTATTCGACAATCTTATTATACTTTGATATTTTGAATGAAAAATATAAAATCGCTTTTATATCAAACAAAAATGAAAGGAGATCGTTTAATATGCATTTTCTGCCGACGATGCGATTCCTTTTTCATCTCATTTCATTTCATCATGCATTTTTATTTTTGATTTAAAAATGTCTTCAACTGCAGAAAAACACATAAAATATGAAAATTTTGAATCTGAAGCCTTAATAACGCCGCCTCTCATATTATAATTATAACTTGTAGAGAAGTAAGAATATTTTCGTCAACAAAATCTCGACTGACGGATACTTTGGCAGTCTGGCAGTTTTTTTTTTTTTTTATTATTATCATTTTTCATATTTTTATTATCATTTGCGTTTGCTTACACTTCCTACAATTGCTTGATACAAACGACAGTGGCTTATCGAATCCAGTCATTGCCACGACCAGGTAATCGCTTAGAAACATTCAGATGTAGAAATTGTACTCAGCACGAATCTCTTCGGTTCATAGATGCCACGTGTACTAAATTTTATAAAAAAAACACGAAAGGAAATATCAGATCCGATTGGTTAATTAAAGTAATTGAGTAGGAGAGAGTCTCTGCTGTCAATTTTGTGACAATTTTTGTGTTGATGTAGGTGGAGTAATATACAGATTAAAGATGGCCATTTGGATTTTTCACCTAGAATATTCATTTTTTTTTATTCTTGTTTAACTTTTCCCCCACAGTACATGGCAGTTTATCATATTTTCGGTAGTCAAAAGACTCCGAATTCAACTCTTTACAACCGGAAACTGATGTTTGGGGTGTTTCCCATGTGTAATGGCAGCACATTTTATTTGATTTGTGCTTAGATGGATTATTGCATTTGTTATTAGAAAACAAATTCCAAGACTATCCCCCTAAAATACTAGGACACGAAACAAAGTCACTACCAACTCTTTTGTACCCAGTTGAAGGTTGCTCTCCTTTCCAAACATTATTCTTTTATTTTTTTTCCTTTTCCTTCCGTATTGTCAATTTCGCTGAAGTCATCCATATGTAAAATGGCATTTATATTTTTTTTCTGGCTTCATCGTCTAAAATAGTTTCAATTTGCCTTTGCTAATGGCGCTCAATTAGTGTGATGGTGTTTTTATATATTTGTTAAAAACCCAAGTCATTGTTAATAACCAAGGCAATGTGATTCTGGCCTTGGAAAACTGTCATTTGGTGATGCTAATGCGGATCACGTGTTGACAGAATGAAACAAAAATCTTAGGAAGGAAAAACAAGGAAGCAAAGCAAACAGTTTCTAATCATTGGTAAAAATCATCAGAACGTACAATAATCGTGCAATATTTATGACATAATTGTAGTTAAGTTTGCTATTTTTTTTTTATATGTCGTTCTTCAAAGTTATCCCTTATCCTTTACTTTCTTTTCAGATCTTATTTAGAAGAAAAGATAAGAGAGAAGTTTATAAAAAATCTCAGGAGATAAGGTGTTTGTTCTTCATCTTCAGAATCCTCGGTATCGTTAGCATTTAGAAAACCATTTCTTCTCACGGAACGTCGTTTAGAACCAAGAGCTCACATGTTATCTATTTATAGAACTAATCCACATGCACAATGGATTATCAAGGTTAAGACTGACAGGCAGCCATGGTAACTAGGTTTAATTGGTGGCCGTGGTTAATTAGTAGGAATATTTGGGTAGCTCGAGGTAAAGGTTACTTGGTTAATCAGGGTTACTTGGGAGCCTTGTTACTTGGTTAATGGGAGTTACTTGGTAAGATCATGTTAGATTATTGTCAATTTGTTCAGGTGCTAATATAGACATGTAATAAAAATATTTATGTTAAACTTTCTTCTTTTTTTCTTTCCCTTCTTAATGTGCGGCCATCTGAAGAGACGTTTGTTTATCATGGATTGGCTTCAGGGCCAAATAAAATTAATCATTGACAGGCCAATTATTTTGAAAAAGCAATGTGGCAGGGGAGCCTTTGATTTATTATACATTCAAAAACAATAGTACAGTAATTTTTATCACCGAAATTGCCCAGTCTTGTCTAGTAGAGTCTCTCCAAATTGTAAAAATAAGCTTTCTTTATCTTTTATAGAATGGCATTTGACCCGCACTACGTGGGGTTCGAACCCGGGTCGTCATATCGTTGAATACATTTAGTCTGGTTGTTTGCACGTGCACATACGAGGTCAAAGGTGAGAGGTCAAGAGTTCAAATCTCTTCAAGCAGACATTTTGCTACAAAACTATTTTGATTTATTATACATTCAGAAACAATAGTACAGCCATTTTTATCACCGAAATGGCTCAGTCTTGTCAGGTAGAGTCTCTCAAAATTGTAAAAATAAGCTTTCTTTATCTTATATGGCATGGCATTTGAACCGCTCTACGTGGGGTTCGAACCCGGATCGTCATATCGTTGAATATATATTGTCTGGTTGTTTACATGTGCACATACGAGGTGAGAGGTCAAGAGTTCAAGAGTTCTTCAAGCAAACATTTTGCTTTAAAACTATTTTGATTTATTATACATACAAAAACATTGTTACAGCCATTTTTATCATCGAAATGGTTCAGTCTTGACGGGTAGAGTCTCTCAAAATTGTAAAAATAAGATTTCTTTATCTTTTATAGAAAGGCATTTGACCCGCTATACGTGGGGTTCGAACCCGGGTCGTCATATCGTTGAATAGATATTGTCTGGTTGTTTGCACGTGCACATACGAGGTCAGAGGTGAGAGGTCAAGAGTTCAAGAGTTCTTCAAGCAGACATTTTGCTACAAAACTATTTTGATTTATTATACACTCAGAAACATTAGTACAGCCATTTTTATCACCAAAATGGTTCAGTCTTGACGGGTAGAGTCTCTCCAAATTGTAAAAATAAGATTTCTTTGTCTTTTATAGAAAGGCATTTGACCCGCTATACGTGGGGTTCGAACCCGGGTCGTCATATCGTTGAATAGATATTGTCTGGTTGTTTGCACGTGCACATACGAGGTCAGAGGTGAGAGGTCGAGAGTTCAAATCTCTTCAAGCAGACATTTTGCTTCAAAACTATTTTGATTTATTATACATACAAAAACATTGTTACAGCCATTTTTATCATCGAAATGGTTCAGTCTTGACGGGTAGAGTCTCTTAAAATTGTAAAAATAAGATTTCTTTATCTTTTATAGAAAGGCATTTGACCCGCTATACGTGGGGTTCGAACCCGGGTCGTCATATCGTTGAATAGATATTGTCTGGTTGTTTGCACGTGCACATACGAGGTCAGAGGTGAGAGGTCGAGAGTTCAAATCTCTTCAAGCAGACATTTTGCTTCAAAACTATTTTGATTTATTATACATACAAATACATTGTTACAGCCATTTTTATCACCGAAATGGTTCAGTCTTGTCAGGTAGAGTCTCTCAAAATTGTAAAAATAAGCTTTCTTTATCTTATATGGCATGGCATTTGAACCGCTCTACGTGGGGTTCGAACCCGGATCGTCATATCGTTGAATATATATTGTCTGGTTGTTTACATGTGCACATACGAGGTGAGAGGTGAGAGGTCAAGAGTTCAAGAGTTCTTCAAGCAGACATTTTGCTACAAAACTATTTTGATTTATTATACACTCAGAAACATTAGTACAGCCATTTTTATCACCAAAATGGTTCAGTCTTGACGGGTAGAGTCTCTCCAAATTGTAAAAATAAGATTTCTTTGTCTTTTATAGAAAGGCATTTGACCCGCTATACGTGGGGTTCGAACCCGGGTCGTCATATCGTTGAATAGATATTGTCTGGTTGTTTGCACGTGCACATACGAGGTCAGAGGTGAGAGGTCGAGAGTTCAAATCTCTTCAAGCAGACATTTTGCTTCAAAACTATTTTGATTTATTATACATACAAAAACATTGTTACAGCCATTTTTATCATCGAAATGGTTCAGTCTTGACGGGAAGAGTCTCTCAAAATTGTAAAAATAAGCTTTCTTTGTCTTTTATAGAAAGGCATTTGAACCGCTCTACGTGATGTTCGAACCCGGGTCGTCATATCGTTGAATATATATTGTCTGGTGGTGTGCACGTGCTCACACGAGGTCAGGGGTCAAGAGTTCACATCTGTTCAAGCAGACATTTTGCTTCAAAACTATTTTGATTTATTATACATTCAGAAACATTAGTACAGCCATTTTTATCACCGAAATGGTTCAGTCTTGTCTGGTAGTGTCTTTCAAAATTGTAAAAATAAGTTTTCTTTATCTTATATGGCAAGCCATTGATAAAAGGAATCACAAAACATGACTCATAGGTTTGAACTCGGGTGGTCTTTTTATATCAATTTCTTGTGCTCGCTACCGACTGAGCTACTGCCAAATTATTTCAAATAGGCTAAAATTCCAAATACAGGCTTGTAAGAGTCTATTGGGAATGCTGCCAACAATGTTGTAGAGAATTTGCATCAGGTGATTAATGTTCACAATGGTCAATGACACGCACGTGAATTTCGTGCAGTTTTACGATAAATACAGCGAGTTTAAGGAGAAAGATCATTTAACTTGGAAATCATCGAAGACTTTACATTTGATGGGGGCAAAATGGCACCTTTGGCAAAAATTAAATTTAAAGTAGTTACGGATGAAAATTACAAAACCGGCTTATTTATTTTGAATTGGTTGTACGTAGATGGATTTGGGTTGTTGGATTTTTTTTATAGTTTTGTTAGGTAATTTTTCTTCGTTTTGGCATTTTTTTTTTAGGTGTTTGCTGTATTATTATTAGTGTGTGTGTGTGCGCGTGAATTGGTAATATTTTATAAGAATAAATTAAGTTTTACTTACCTTTTGACTTCGTGTGGACTCGAACTCGCAGCGCAATAATCGGTCGTCGATGAAGAAACATTTTAACCGGCTGAGCCATCGCACTTGGCTGAATGATTGTTAAAATTAAAAGTCTATATCGAGACAGAAAGCGATATTGCATTGCTGATTACTAAGAACAAGATATTAGTTTACTCATCAAACCAACGAGCGTGTAAGTCACGGTGGCTCAGTAGGTTCGATAGGTATACCTTATGCTGCGTTATGGTTCGAGGGTTCGATTCCCACCGCAAGATTGTTTTTATAAAATATTTGATAAAGACTGTCTTTATATAGACAAATTAACTTTCAAGCTTGTCTGTCTCTGTGGCTCAGTGGTTAGAGCGCTACGACGTGGTAGTAAACCACCGTGGGTACGAACGCCGGACAAGGTGCCATCATTCATTTTGACGTTGCGTTTACTCTATTGGTTGTAGAGATATATAGATAAATTAGCCAAACTCTCTCGTCGTCTCGGTAGCACAGTGGATAAAGTGCCCGTTCGGCGAACAGCTATGCGATAGTTCGGACCTCTGCCAGAGTAACTATGAAGCAATTTTTACAAATTCGTGTAAAAAAATTCAGACATAAAATGGTTAATTTCGTCCACGTTTCTGTGTCCGCCGTAGCCCTGTGGTTAGAGCAGTTGCTTGAAACTACGAAGAACGTGGATCGAATCTCTAAGAGGCCGATGATGCTAGAATCATTATTTTGATCTTATAAATGATTCACAATCATTTAAAACAGCTAAAATTTCGTGGTTTGCTAACGGGTCTCTATGGCCTAGATGGATGGATGGTGGACTTGGGCTAGAACTCTGTTTCGACGGCGAGGGTTCGAGCCCAGGTAAATCTCCAGAGGCTTTTAGCCACTGTCTCATGTTCTCTCTCTCTCATTCTAATATGAGGGACCTGAGTTGTTCTAGAGGTAAGGTGTCAGTTGACACGTTGGGCCTGCCGCAGGCAAGACACTACCAATAGAAAGAACGAGGGGCAAAAGTGAAGAACGAGGCAAAAGTGAAGAACAAGGAGGGGAGCCGAGGGGCAAACTGGTGCCCGGGACCCTCCAAGATTCTAAAGGAGAGAGGAAGATACTTACTATTTTACTACTATAGTAGGTTGTGACTTTGAACTTTAAATATTACTTACGAACACCTGTTTAAATTCCACCTATTTTGGCCGTGGTCGTAGAGTTGTTCATCCCTCCCTACATTTTTCTACCGTTCAAACGACCCGGGTTCGATTCCCACTCAAACCCAACTTTCGGTTTTAAAGTATTTTAGACGTCCAAAGCAAATTCTAGTGGTTTTGAGTGCCCACTATGGAAAATCTTTCACAACTAAATTTCCCCGTGGGGTTCGAACCCACCTAAGTTTCTAGAGGATGTTAGTCCATTCTATGGCTGACGTTATTTCAACCGTGTTCTCCCGACGCTCTACCACTGAGCCATCCAGTCGAACAAATAATCTGATATTTTATCCATTATAACTGTAACCTTCAGTTTAGAATAATGTAAAATTAGGTGTCAGTGATTCATGTCGCAGTCCTGTTCACCATGAGGATCGAAACCGTTCTTCAACATCATCAGACCAACGCTCTACCACTGAGCCATTTGGTCAGACACGGAAACGAATTATTTATCCAATATAACCTTAACCTAGTGTCTTAATAGAAGAAAAATCTATCCAGGCTCCAGCGGGGCTTGAACTAACAACCTCTTCCATCGATAAGACAATGCTACTCCCTAACCGACTTGACCATCACGGCCGCTGGTATGATTGGAGAATTAAGTCTAATATAGTCTTATAAATTTAATAAAATTCAGGAAGAAATTACAAGGGATCGAACCCTCGTCCCTCTAATCGCGCTTGCCAGTTTCATGGCCATTTAGACCACTAGACCACCACGACCACGTCTTATCGTCATGTTTAACAAGTGCCCAATCCTGGTCGCTTCTGTGAATTTATTTCAATTCATTATGCTTTACATTAAATATATCTCATTTCGACCCTCTCTCTAAAGAGAATGGGATTTTTACTGTCGATAGCCGACCCAATTTTCATTTTGTATTTTGTTGGTTAGCGTCATGGACCCCAAGAGGATGTGGTTTTACAAGTAAAGTTCTTTTCGATATCACAACAATTTCATTCTCACAACAGGAATCGAACCCACGACCATAATACAGACATAAGAGATCATCATTTTAACCGACTGAGCTACTACAAAAAGCACGTGCGAAGTGTTCACTCGTTGACCTAACCCCAGGAGACGCTGATATCCAGTCTCTTGGAACAACCAGTCTGCATTTTCTAAAGCCTTCTTTTAAAAAATTAAACCATATAATCTTAATGTCGCCAAGCAGTATTAAGTCAAGTGCGATGGCTCAATCGATAAACGCGTTCGTCCGCCATCATCGTCCAGCTATGCGAGTTCAAGTCCACATGATAGTAAGTAAAATTGAAGGTAAGAGTATAATAATAACTATATTGTATTTGTGTTAAATTCCTCATATACTATGCACACACCACTCTTCAAAACATATAATAAAACAATTGTACATGTCAATTCCTATATATATAAAATGATAAGGTATTAATTAATATATATACTTCATACGCGCCATTACCTTTAATAAAAAAATTCTTTGTTTTTCTTAAAGAGAAAATGTTAATGTGCGACACTTTAGATATTATATTAGTGCACGAAAATCCATAATCTGTAAAATTCTGTTGTATTTAGCAGAGAACAAAACTTCGATGACAGGTTTCAGAAAGTTTTTGCATTATACCGCGTTAAAACTAATTAACTATTGTCTGGAAATGATTTGATTAAATGTAGTTATCCCCCCATGACCATATTCCTATTGTTCCTAGAATTTTATCTTCCATCATGGTTTGTCATGTGAACAGTATTTCGTATCCACATACACATTAGTTCTATTTCTATGGCTGAGAAAAAGCTTGCAAAAATAGCCACTAAAACAAACAAATTTGACGTTGTAAAATGAAGTTATCTCCCAGCACATCCCTTCTCCCGGCTCCTGTGTTTCATAGCTTTAGTATGTCTCTTTAACTAGTATAACCCAATAGCCCCAACAGTCATTCATATACGACTGATATACAAGTTTATTATTATGCGACCTAATCTACTTAGAATTCTTTTATTAGAATACTATACTATTCTAGTGGCCGCCATTTGTAAACAACTTCAACGTAGCTAAGTAAGGACTGAATTGCTTCCAGTTATTCGATTGGATGAAAATATCGTACATGTAAAAACCAAACATTTATATAGTTACTACTAGCTACATAGAAGAAAAAAATTAAAAGTTTTGATCCCATTTTAGTCTGATTTTAAATCAAGAATTAAAATCGGATTTTGATTAAGCATAGCAAGGATCGTTTTGGAATTAAGCTTGGATTTGGGATAAATTTTGGAAAATGGTAAGTACCTTATTGGAAGCAGTTCTTTGAACAGTTCCTTAGTGTCCTTATAGTTCTGTCTGTCGTGCTTAATTGTATTCCGAAGAATCTTCGGCAAAGTTCCTTATATCTAAGGGTTCTGCGTGTGCCGTTTCTTAAGTAAGGTAAAGGCAGTCAGTTTTTTAATTAACCAAAGTTTGGAACCAGACAAGGGTACCCTGTTCCTAACTTTAAAACAATTTGGAACTGATGCCCGAATTTTTTTTTTTTTTTAGTTCCTAACCAGGACTTCGTTTTCCAAAATGCATTAAAACTAAATTTGCAATAAGTGCTGTATTTCTCACTGTAAAATTCCATATTTGCGAAAAAATAACTAGTTATTCTTTTGAGTAATATTGGCCTGGCTACGAAACTCTATTCATATAATATGTCTCGATTTATGACAGCCTATTATGGATTATTCTTTTGATCCCTTAACAAAAGAGACTTTATATAATCTGTGTATAAAAATGAGGATAATTTTCTTGCTGAATGAATGGAAGAATGAAAGAAATAAGTGGTGATCTTGTAGGAATATAGAATTTTTGACGATTTTTGATGAATTATTTACGTACAAAAATTCATTTTCAATATCCAAGTGTACGACAGATGAAGGTAAAAGGGGAAAAGTAGAACTACAATGCTTCAATTGAACAAGACTTGATCCCTGCGAGTTGTCAAAATTGTTAACGGAACGTTCAAAGCCCTGGAAAAAGGCGCGAACATACACGTTACAGTTGACGTCTGTCGGTGATTCTGTCTCATCAGTTATAGCCTTTTGAAATGTTTTCTGCTATACTACTATAGAGTGGGATATCCGTGGACTTTACTGGTTGGGTCCCCTCCCCCGGAAAATAGTTTTAAATATATGTTCTCCTGCCCCTCAAAGTTTGGGGCCCGTAGACTTGGTTAATCCAGTTCTTACGGTAGTTCAGCCACTGCTTCTATATCTAAGTGCACATTTCAAGACAGATATGATATTTTGAATGCTTGTTGCCGATTTGAATGATGCGTTCTGTTTATCCCAAGGTCTCTAAATCAAGATAATACGGTATTTATGAATAATACAAGTGATCAATTAAACATTATGTATGCTATTAAACTATATTTAAAACATGAGGTCGTTACGAGTTTGGCGGGAAAACATAGTGTGCAGACATGGAACATCTTTTAAACATTTTAAATTATTCATTTAATTTGAGATCAGCTCTGATTATCTCGCGATTTAGTTTTTTTTTATAAAGCCAGAATATCTGAGACATATTATTGAATTGTACGTGTTGGACTGTTCGTAACGAAAGGACCGAACGGTAACGGCGCAATCAAATTTTTTTTGGGGGGGGGGGGGGGGGGGGGGGGGGAG